AATGAGTACTTCACATTGGTATTCAAAGAGAGGGACGCGAGGGATGTTGAGGTTAGGGAGAAGTGTATGAATACTCTCGGGCAGGTCAGCATGATTGAGGAAGTGTTGGGTGTCCTGAATTACATTAAGGTAGATAAGTCCTTAATGGGGTCAGAGGGGATCTATCCCAGGATACTGTGGGAGGCAAGGGAGGAAATAGCCAGGGCCTTAACATCTGCATCCTATTTGGCCAGGTACGTTTCCAGAGGACTGAAGAATGGTCAACATTGTTCCTTTGTTTAAGAAGGGAAACATAGATAATTCAGGTAATTACAGGTTGGAGTGAGCCTGACGTCAGTGGTGGAGAAGCTGTTGGAGAAAATATTGAGAGACAGGATTTGTTCACATTTGGAAGTGAATGAACATTTTAGTGTGGGCAGCATGGTTTTTGTGGGAAAGATCATGTCTCACCAACTTGACTAAGTTTTTTGAGGAGGTGACAATAATTGATGAAGGAGAGGCAGTGGATGTTGTCTACATGGACTTTAGTAAGGCATTTGATAAGGTACCTCATGACAGGCTGGTACAGAAGGTAGAGTCTAATGGGATCCAGGGTGAGCTGACTAGGTGGATGCAAAACTGGCATGGTCATAGAAGACGGAGATTAGCAGTGGAAGGGTGCTTTTCAGAATGGAGTTCCATTAGTGGTGGTCTGCAGGGATCTTTGTTGTTTGCAGTATATATATAAATGATCTGGAAGAAAGTGTAGGTGGTCTGATTAGTGAGTTTACAGATGATACAAAAGTTGGCAGAGTTGCAGATAGTGAAATTTCAAAGAGTAGTTGCAGAAAGAATGCTTCTCCTGGCTGTTTTTGATATGGAACCAAGACATATGGCCTTAGAGGAAAATGCAACTCATTTCAAACTGAGATAAGAAGAAACCTCTTCATTCTGAGGATGATGAATCTTTGTAATTCTCTACTCCAGAGATCTGTGGAAACTTAGTCATTTAGTGAATTTAAGGCAGGGATTGATGGATTTCTACTTGCAAATGACATCAAGGCATGCAGGATATGACATTGAGTTGGATGATCAGTCATGACCAAGAATGATAGTGAGGGCTTGAGGGGATGAGTGGCCTACTCTTTCACCTTTGGTCCTATGTTCCTATGTTCCTACTTTACCAGGAATTTTAATGAACAGCCTTGAAAATGTGCACAAGTCTCCTCTGCATTCATAGTCCTTGTTCGCTTGCTGGACACTCCCATAGTCTCCATTAAAGATTATTGAATCCCCTCACACTCCAACTTTTGTTTTGTCATACTGGCAATACAAAATCTGCTATAAAATCATGTTGAAGATCAAAGCACCCAAAATGATTAGAAAGGCCAGCCTTTATGAAGCACCTTTTACTATCACGGGACATCCTAAAGTATTTCAGAGATAATCAAGTAATTATGAATTACTGTAGTCACTGTTGTAATGTAGGAAGTATGGCACTCAGTTTGTGTTCAGCAAACTCACACAAATCATGATGTTGATAATGGCCAGATTATCTTATTTTCGTGATTTGACTGAGGATAAGTATTGGTCAGGGCGCCAGAGATAATGTCCCTTTTTCCTCGAAATAGTGCCTCAGGATCTTTTACATTCACATGAGAGGAAAAATGGGGCTTTGGTTTCATGCCACTTCTGAAAGAAAACATGTTAAATAGAGCAGCACTTCTTCAGAACTGGGCAGTCAGCCTGGATTTTGAATTAGCCCTGGATGGGACTTGATTGCACAACCTTCAATTAAGTCAATGAGTTTCGTTCCCTACCTACTATTTTCCTCATTTCACTTCTCACCAAAGCATTGACTCTTGGTGCCTTTCTTAAGTTTACTATTTCAAATCATTTTCCTGACGATATTTTTAGCAAATTTGGCTCACAGGCACCCAGTGGACAAGTTGAAATAATTATCAGAATGACAAGTTTATGTAACAAGTTGATTCAAAACGTACAACTGGGATTTTATAATGGGAAGAAGCAGAGACAAAACTGTGATTAACAGCATGACACCAGAAGGTTATGTGGAAGTGGAGTCAGGAAGTTTCACAGAAGTAATTTATTTCATAAGATGTAAGAAACTGTTTACACTGCATGCAAAGAGTGATAACAATGTAGCATGTTAATGTTTGGGCTATATAAGAAGATAAGAAGATCCTAATTCCCTGCATACAACTCCCTGCACCTCTCTCATGTCCACTGGCCAAGTGGTAATTCTTAATTTAGAAGCAAAATACTGCAGACGCAGGAAATCAGAAGCAAACACACAAAGTGTTGGGGAAACTCAGCAAGTCCAGGAGCTTTTGTGGAGTGTGAAACAAAGTTAATGTTTCAAATCCAAAATGAGTAATCTTTAGAACAGTGTTTGTTTCAGATTGACATTCATTGTTTGTTTTATCAGTATCATTACAGTTCCACGGTTGGAGCAGAGAACATAGCTGGCAGTGCAGCATCTAAACCTCTGATCTTGTCCCCTTAGTAATGTAGGAGCATAAAAATTTTTAGTGGCGCATCTTTGTTGGAAATCAGCCAGCGCAACACCAATTGAGGAGTTTTTAATGATATTTATCCAAATACTGAATGTGTAAAACAAGCTCACTACAAAAAGTTCCATCAAGTTATATAGATACACCATAGAAACCCATATTTTAACAATCTCGAACACCAAAATTGGAATATCTAAGTTTGGTTCTAGTTTTTTTTCTGAAAGTGCTATTCGAGAACGCTTGTATTTATTTTAGCACAGATCACAGTGAAAAATGGTATGTTTTCATTATGAATTAAGTTAAAGAATGATAGTTAAAGATATAGTGAGTAAAATGTTGAGAAGACCTCTCAAGGAATTGCTTTGAATTAAAGTGTTAACATTGCCTTCCTGGAGCAGAACTGTGATAGTTTTACAGAACAGTCTAAAGCAACATGTAGCAACAGTAAATCAACACCAAACTAAAACAATTTATTCTGGCATATACATGTATATAAATCTACAAATGGCCCGAAGAAGCTACTATTATACACATCCCTCCTCCATGACTATGTTATGCGATGTTCAAAATTCCACCCAACTTATACACACCTTTTATTTTCCATTTTACCTCTTTTCTTGATGCAAACTTTCAGAAATTGATGGAAGAACCTTGCTTTATTTTGGCCAAAGATTGAGGAGAGGTTTTCTAGCAAGTAAAATAAAACAAATGTGATGATACTGTGGCTTTAAAAGGCGTATTTTGTCCTGGTTTTTTTTGAAGAGCGGCTTTAAGGCAGAAGTAACAAGCAGTCTATCAGATCCACTAAAGTAAACAGCTTGTGAGGCCTTGGGTTGTTTTTAAAGCTGGAACAATAGAAGCAGCCTGAATGGGTGTGGTTAAGCTCCCACAGAACCAGGATTTTTACTTTTAGCTTTCAGCAGTTGCTGTTTTGGTTTTGAGAAATGGACGCTACTTTTTCCCTCTCTCAGTTACAGCCAAAAGCTGGGGGTTCTTTTCCTGCTATTGAAGTCGCTTGTGAGACAATCTGTTTTCTGAATTTGCCTTTGGCCAAGTGTGTGTATACAGGATGTTACTATATTGGAACAGTTATTTAGTAATAGTTACTGTATCTATTATTCTGTTAAGTTTTCCAACAGAGTTGTTATTCCAATTCCTTCCTCCATTTTGTTTTTTAACTATAGTAGATGAATATAGTGTGTTGTGCTTTGAATCCGGTAGTTTAACCAATTGAATTGCATCTGGAATGCAACAGCTTACATTTTCCTGTAAAATAAGAAATAATCATTATAGTCCAGACTATCTTCTGAATTTTTTGAGGAATTTCATCTGGTCCATACACAAAGAACTGTGAATGCTGGAGATATGAAACAAACAAAAACAGAAATTGCTTAAGAAACTCAGCAGGTCTGGCAGCATCTGTGGTGTGAAAATAACTGTTCTTCTGAAAAAGAATCAGAGGACTCAATGTTAACTCTGTTTTCTAACCGCAGATGCTGCCAGACCTGCTGAGTTTCTTCAGTGATTTCTGTTTTTGTACATTTCCTTTAACAAGGAAATGATTTTGCCCTTGAACTTCAATGGATTTCCCCTTCACAAGATATATCTGTCTGACTTGGGTATGGATCTGAACTGTTGGGATGACCTTTGGTATTCTGCTTGTTTCCCAACTATTCAATTCAGTAAACTCATTTGAATCTTCTCCACTTCCTCCTCCTTCACGAACATCTGAAGGTAAAACATGATGTATATTTACAAACCTAATCTTTCCACTACCAAATATCTTGATTAAATATATGCAAGGGCCACATATTTGATTGACTCTCCCTGATAGCCATGTCAATCACTTATGGTGATGATCTTTCACCTTAACTGTTGGTTCAAATTCAGACATCTTTCTCTCATTCAACCCCTATCATTACTCTTTTCCTGACTAATTGTTTTTTATTCAAATGACTACAAAATGTGGCTTCAGCAATGAAAACCTTGTTCTAGGCTGTCTTGTAAGAAGCAATTCAGCTGGCTGAGGCGTGGGTGTAATGAACAAGTAAAAAAAGTTCACCACTTTGTGGTTCAATGGCATCTGACATTTCTTCTAGTTTGAATCTAGCGTTGTTTAAGAGTAGCACATTTAACAATTTTGACTGCTCCATTCAAGAAAACAACTGCTAACATGTTAATAGCTAGCCAGCTGATGCCTGAGTCTCTAGTGTTTTGATGGAGGCCGTGAGGTGGGCACCTCAGCATCTGCTTGAGATAGCATGAGTTTAACAATCCATATCTAAGTATAGTTTTTCTCCAACTAAATATTTGTGTGATAAATCCTGCTCATCAGTTTGTTCACTTCCTCAAAATGTTCCTGACTTGCATGTATAAAGATTATGCCTGTGACCATGGATAATGTTTCAATGTAGGGACAAAAACATGAAATAACATGAAATTGAATTAGCTTGTCTAACATGGATACATTGTTTTTCTTTTTCACAGCGTCTGGTTGAAGCTGCTGAAAATGCTCACTTGGAGCATGAATATAATTCAGATTTAGAGGTAAGTGTGACACAGATGTACTGGTCAGTTTATCTTCAATAATTAATCAATGTCATAACTGAAAAACCGTATGGATGCTGGACTATTTCAGTGATTTAAAATAGACTGTTAACCTGCTTGCCTAAAGGTAACATTACATCATTTTCTGCTTTGACCCTATGACTGGTTGTGTGATTTTAAGAATCTACTCTCCAGAAATATTAAAAAAAAATCTTTGGAAACTTATTCCAACAAAGTGATTCAATTGAAAAAAAAAATAAGATCACTGCATATACTCAAGTAAAAGTCCAATGTTTGAGACCAATCTGTTGAGGCCAAAAGTTAGGGAGTTGACTTTTACACAGATAATGTTTTGAAATGTTTACTTTGGGCCCAACTGAAATTCTATAAAAGGGCATTGGAATGGAATAAAGTAAAACTCAACAAAGTCAAAGAATTCACATTAATTATCTGGCATTTAGTAATTTCATAATATTACAAATTATAACTAATTTCTCAAAATTAAGTATTGAACATTTATTCACTTATTTCCTGATATTATGACCATTAGTATCTTTACATTGACAACTCTAAGTTTATACTTTTGATTCTGAAGTTTTTCACCTTTGATCCCTGAAAAAGGTCAACTTTTACATGAGGTATGTGATGAAATATGCTTTTTAAAGTCAAAAATTCATAAAGTCAACTGTTCATGTGTGATTTTTACACAAGGATACCACAATTATTAAGTTGAACTTTCTTAATGTTTTGCTGGCATTAAGTTTGAATTATACCCCATCGATATTTCTGTATTATTACTAATGTAACTTGGTTTGCATTAGTGGATAATAATATTTTGAATGTATTGTAATTCATAATTACATCTACAAACTGTATTTTAAGGATGGAAAAACTAGTTGTTTTATAGATAGAGGATGCATTTTGCCCACCAATTGTTTGGATGCCAGTTGCAATGCCTCTGCTTTCCCAGTAAATGTCCTAAGATTAGTGGATGTAGAGTTGAGGGTAGACAATCCTTTAGGTGTGTTAAATGGATACTGGATAGCAGTGTCATGAACATTTGAAGTAGAATAATATTCAAATTTATTGATAGCAGTAAATGAATGGGAAACAAATGTATGCAAAGTACACTAATTAAAGAAAGAAGATAACTTTTATTTCTCTGTGCAGAACCTGGAAAAATCTACTTAATTATAGGATAAGAAGTTTCATTTATAATCGTTTTGCAGCAAAAGCAATTTACAAGTGTACTATTATTCTGTTGAATAATATTTGCATTCCTTGGCATGCTATCTGCTTTGCTACTAGCATGGATGCCCAGTTTGTTTTAGGTAATTGGCAAAAGAGCCAGAAGCGACATGGGGAAATGTTTACCCAGAGCATTTTTGTGATCTGGATTGCATTGCCTAAAAGGGTGGTGATAGCAAAGGCAATGGGTCATTTTCAAAATAGAAATGTATAAATATTCAAAAAGGAAACAAAAATTGCCAGGCTGTGGGGAAGGGTAGGAGAATGGGAGGGCTAATTGGAGAATCCCTTCAACAAATTAGCATGATGAGTCAAATAGCCACGTTCTCTCCTGTGGCATTGACTAATTCTGTGATTAAACAGGATGAAGTTTAATTTGTCTACCTGTACTTAAGTAATTCTATACTCATAAAAAGGGGATGATACTTGGAAACCACAACATGAGCAGAAAGAAGTAGGAGCCTGTGGACATTAGTAAGTGCTGTGACAGTACTACGGCTTGAAGAGGTGTATTTTGTCCTGGATTTTTTGTTGAAGAGAGGTTTTAAGGTGGAGGTAACAAGCAGTCTACGCATAACCACTAGAGTAAACAGGTTGTAAGGCCTTGGGTTTTTTAAAAAAAAGTTGGAACAATGGGTGCAGCCTGAATGGGTGTAGCCAAGCTCTCACAGAAACAGGATTTTCAATTGTTTTTGGTTTTTCAGTAGCTGCTGTTGGGGTTTAAGTCTGTCTTAGTGTTTTTCCACCTGGACTGGGAATTATCTGTGAGAAAATCTATATTTCTAAACTTGCCTTTTGCCAAGGGTGTGTTTACGGGCTGTTACTATATTGGAACAATTAATTTGTAGTAGTTAATAATCTATTATTCTGTTAAGGCTTCCAATAGAGTTAAGTTATTCCAGTTTTTTCTTCCTTTTGTTGTATTTTAATTATAGCATATGAATAAAGTGTGTTTTGCATTGAGTAGATTGACCAATTAAATTGCATCTGAATACAACACCTTACACTTACCTTTAAAATAAGAAAATGGTAGGGTCTAGAGTATCTTCTGAATATATTTTGAAGGGTTTAGTCTAGTCCAAACTGTGTATATATGAGGTACAGTATAAGATGCATTAAACAAAAAAACTAAATCAAGTGAAAAAAATGGCAATGGAGTTGAGAGACAAAGCTGAAAAAAGGTTTCTCCAAGGAACCATCCTATGGCAACAGAATGGTATTGCACTGTGATAACAACATAGGAAACTTGAATGGAAAATATCGACCTAGACATTTGTATTGACAAAACTTAAGACGTTCTCTGTGGTCATGTTCCTGTAAGAATCTTAATTTTAGTCAAAATTATCCAGATGTTTATTCCAATCTATGAAGATTGTTCAAATTTGTCTCTGATTGGCTGATTATGTCTCAGCTTGTTTTTTCTCTCTGCAGCAGCAACAGACAAGTAAGCTTAAAATAATTAATAACAAGCCAGCATAACTGCAGGAGAGTTTAAACTTTACTCGAGTTTTTGCAATTGTAATAATTTATGCTGCCATTCATACTTGCACCTCTTTCTTACAAATGCAAAGCAATTTAAGCTGAATTTCAGCTCCTTGTCTTAAAGAAAATGCTAATTATACTATCTTTAACTTGTTAATGATTTGTAATATGACCTATAATTGACTACATCTTTCATTTCAAAAACAAGGAGCCTTCCAGCAATCCACCCACGTACTGTTTTCCTTGATGTAATGTTAGGTGTTTTATCTACAAATAACATTTTTGTAATTGCATCTGAGCCAATGTTGGGTTAGTGTACTTTACAGTGAAAGTATAAAGCATGAGACATAAGATCATAAGAAATAGCAACAGGAATAGGCTGTTCAGCCCCTTGAGTCTGCTCCGCCATTCAATAGAATCATGGCTGATCCGACACTCCTCACATCGAATTTCCTGCTCTTTCCCCAGAATTCTTGATTCCTATACCAATTAAGAATCAATCTATTTCAGTGTTAAATGCGCACATAGTCTACCCCTACAGCTCTCTCTGGCAAGGAGTTTCAAAGACTCACAGCCCTCAGAAGAAATTCGTCCTCACCTCAGTCTTAAATTGGCGCCCCTTAATTCTGATGCCCTCTGGTTCTAGACTCTCCCATGAGGGGAAATACCTTCTCAGTATTTATCCTGTTAAGCGCCTTAAGAATCTATGTTTTGGATGCTACAGGAGAGATCGAAATGGAGGCAAGAAAGGAGGGGGGGCTGGGGTTTTGTGTTTTTGATTAAGCAATACAATACTACATACATTAGGATGCCAGCAGTAAGAGGGAAATTGAGAAACAAATATGTAGGGAGAGATCAGATATATGTAAGCATAATAATTTAATAATAATGGGGGATTTTAATTTTCCAAACATTGACTGGGACTACCATAGTGTTAAAGGTTTGTATGATGAAGAATTTATCAAATGTGTTCAAGAAAATTTTCTTCATCAATATGTGGATGCTCCTAGTAGAAAAGGAGCAAAACTAGACCTTCTTTTGGGCAATAAGGCAGGGCAGGGGACTGAAGTAAAAGTGGGGGAACACTTTGGATCTGGTGATCATAATTCTATTAGTATCAAAATAGTTATGGAAGAGGATAAGCCTTCCATAAAAGTTAAACTTTTTAATTAGAGTAAGGCAAATTTTAATGGTATGAGATAAATACTTTCAAAAGTTACTTGGCAAAGACTATTCGAGGTAAAAGGACGTCTGACAAGTGGGGACGTTAAGACTGTGATTACAATAGCTCAGAGGCATTATGTTCTTGTTAAAGTGAAGGGTAAGGATGGTAAGATTAAGGAACAATAGATTAAAAAAGATATTGAGGTTCTAGTCAAGAATAAAGGAGAATCTCATTTTAGATATAGATAACTTGATTCAATTGAATCTCTTAATCAATATAAAGAGTGTAGGGGAATACTTAAGAAATAAATTGGGGAAGCAAAGAGAGAATATGAGGTAACATTGGCAGATAAGGTTAAGGATAACCCAACAAGATTCTACAAATACATTAAGAGCAAGAGGGTAACTAGAGAGAGTGTAGGGTTTCTTAAAGATCAAGGAGATCATTTTTGTGTTAAACCCCAGGAGATGGGAAAGATACTAACTGAATAGTTTGTGTCAGTTTTTACTGTGGAGAAAGAAATAGAGTCAGGAGAATGCAGAGAAATAAACCTTGATGTTTTAAAAACATTTCACATTACAAAAAAGAAAGTTTGGGAGGTCTTAGAGGACATAAAGGTGGATAAATCTCTGGGATCTGATTTAATGTATCCCAGAACATTGAGGGAAGTTAGAGAGAAAATTATGAGAAATATTTGTGTCATCTACAACTGCAGTGAGGTGCTTGATGACTGGAGGGTGGCTAATGTTGTACCTTTGTTTAAGAAAGATTGTAAGGAGAAATCAGGGACCCATGGACCTGTGAGTCTGACTTTGGTTGTGGGTAAATTGTTGGAGGTGATTATAAAAGATAGGATTTATGGACATTTAGAGATACAAAAATTGATTAGGGATAGTCAGTATAGTTTTGTGTGAAGAAAATCATGTCTCACAAACTTGATTGAATTTTTTGAGGAAATTACCAAAAGGTTTGATGATGGCAGAGCAGTAGACATTGTTTATTTGGATTTTAGTAAAGTCTTTGACAAGAATCCGCATGATAGACTAATTAGTAAAGTTAGGTCACATGGGATTCAGAGTGAGCTTGCCAATTGGGTACATAATTG